TTTCATTGAGATTTTAAGCTCTCTGTTGATTCCTTAAGATATCTGACTGGTTATTTTGCCATGGATACAGCCATTGCCTTGCCTTGAAAGTCTTCCATTCCCCTCCCCTCTCCCCCGGCCATCATTCTCCATCCTTTCACCTTGCAACTGATAGCCATAATTCCAGGCAAGACAATGCTGAGCTTAGCTGAAATTATCAGCTATTGTCCTAAATAATTATCCTCTACAGTTCTCATCGCCACCAACAGATAAACTCCAGGCCCTCCATAGTTCAGAGATGGACTCTAGTTATCAGACAGCATTAAACATACTGAGTCACTGCAGGGAGGCAAAATAACTTTTCATTAAATTACCTAAGGCAATCATTTTCAGGGAAGGTGGAGAGGAGCAAGGGGCATCCTTTATCCACGCTCTTGTTCCATGTCGTAGTGGGCTGCTAATATCACACACTGCCTGATTGGTTTTCTCAACTAGTCTGCTGGCACATGTGTTAGCCATCAATCCTAGATATATGATATTTTTCATTACTTAGTCTAGGGGTAGCTAACCTGTGGCCCTCCCAAAGTTGTTGGACTACAATTCCCATCATCCCTGTCAATTGGCAATGCTGACTGAGGCTGATGGGAGTTGGAATTCAATATCATCAGGAAGGTCAGAGATCCCCAAACCATGGCCCAGCATCTGGCAGAGGGACTGCTAGACCTCATTGCCTAACACCCTTCAGAGGAAATAATACACCCCAATGCGCAATGGTTACCACCAACAGTGGTATATTTTCTTCAGAGTTCGCAGGAGCTAAAATTTAGTCATTTAATATTAGGTACATGATATGTGAGGGACGCGGGTGGCGCTGTGGGTTAAACCACAGAGCCTAGGGCTTGCCGATCAGAAGGTTAGTGGTTCAAATCCCCGTGACAGGGTGAGCTCCCGTTTTTCGGTCCCTGCTCCTGCCAACCTAGCAGTTTGAAAGCATGTCAAAATGTGCAAGTAGATAAATAAGTACCGCTCTGGCAGGAAGGTAAATGGCGTTTCCGTGTGCTGCTCTGGTTCGCTAGAAGCGGCTTAGTCATGCTGGCCACATGACCTGGAAGCTGTACGCCGGCTCCCTCGGCCAATAAAGCGAGATGAGCGGAGCAACCCCAGAGTCATCCACGACTGGACCTAATGGTCAGGGGTCCCTTTACCTTTTTACATAATATGTGTACCTAGCAAGGTACCTGAAGTTTATTTATTTATTTAAATGGGAATTGAATCTGTGGTGCTCAGCTAGAGATTTCATCTAATCTGCAGATGGGTATGCTTTTATCCTCATGTTAGGTAATGTCACTGAACTGATAAGAACATGAAACAAGTATATGTCAATTGAGAAACAAGCTCAAGGGACGGCTCCTTCTTCCTATGGTAAGGTTCTATCCATCTATAGACTTGAAAAAGTGTTGGAGAGCCAATTTGGTGTAGGGGTTAGAGAGTTGGACTAGGACCAGGGAGATCAGGGTTCAAATCTCCACTCAGTCATGAATTCTTACTGGGTGACTTTGGGCCCATTGTGGTCTCTCAGCTTAATCTTCTGATTAATGGTTGTTGTGAGGAGAAAATGGGGAAGGGGAGAACCCTTGGAGGAAAGGTGGGATATAAATGCAATAATAAATAAAATAAAGCTTGCTTTTGATCACCAAGACAGACTTCTGCCAAAGCTTTCCAAAAAAGAGCAAGAGCCACACAGAATGCTTTGAGCTGTGTTGCAGGAAGGCCAAACAGAGTTCCACTGATGATGAATGAATGAGCCAGCAGTACTCTGTCCATGATAAAGAGCCATCTCTGTGAAATTATGTACCCAGGCATGTAATCAGTACGGGGCAGGCACTGCTAACTTCATCTTAGGCTGATCAGGCTGGGTGGGGTTCTTGAGACAGTCAACATCCAATGCCTTAGAGATAGCTCAGAGCAGGGCAGAGTTGGGAGGAGGACAATGACAGTGCATGCAACATGCATTGATGGAACCTGACAGTGGAGGGACATTGGGGGCCCAGCAGCTATCACACTGCAAGATCAGGGCCACTGGAGTAGCCAGTAGGGTGTACATGCTGTTTTCCCAGGTGGTTGTGATCATCAGTGCTAAAACTATGAGAGGAACATAGGAAGCTGTCTTATACTGTATTAGACCATTGCTCCACCTAGCTCAATTTTTTTTTTGCACCGACTGACAGTGTCTCTACAGTATTTCAGACAGGGAATCTTTCCTAGCCCTACTTGGAGATGCTGAGGTTTGAACCAGGAACCTTCTCATGCAAAACAGACACTCTACCACTGTGCTTTTCCATTAACTGGTCCCTGCTAGATTACTTTGAATGAATGAAAGGGGTTGGTGAGAGGCAAAAAGAGGTTGAGTGGTTCTTCACTTGGTGAGCCTGGAATGCTAAGTAAGAGATGTGTTCAGAAGAGGAAGGCAAGCTGTGCACAGATGCTCTCCAAGCAGGCAGTTTTCAAAATTTGGAAAGGAGGGGACGTCTAGAGAAGCACTGTTATCAGACTGTAAGCACTTTGTGCATTCATTTTGAGGCTCCAGTTATCTCTGTGATGGTGTGCACTGCAAAGCAGGATATCAGGCTTTTTTGTAACAGCACACACTTCAAATGACAGCACTGAGTTTCATGCTAAAATATTCAGACCTCTGTGAAAATTCAGGTGGTCCAGCCAGGACACACTAAAGAGTAGTGAATCTGCAGCCCTCCCAATGTTGTCAGGCTACAACTCCTATCAATCCTGACCATTGGGCATGCTGGCTGGAGCTGATGGGACTTGGAGCCATCAAGTTCCCTGTCCCCATATTATGCAAATAAAGTAAACATATGCATATTTGTAATGCTTGGGCTTATTTATTTTGAAAGCAAAAGCTGGGCTTTTTGATAGTGGCTGATAATAGGGTTTTATACTGAAACTTAATGGCTGATGTAAATTTTTAATGATTTCATATTGTTGCTTTTTTTTTGCTCACTGTTTGATGTGGATTTATCCTTTTTGTACATCACTGAATTATTATTACTATTATTACTATTACATTTATATTCCATCTTTCCTGCAAGTAGCTCAAGGTGCCCTTCTCTGTTTCATCCTCACAACAACACTGGGATGTAGGCTAGCTGAGAGACAATGACTGGCCCAAGGTTGCCTAGTGGTCTTCATGGCTGAGTGGGGATTTGAACCCTGGTTAGTGACTAAGAAAACTGACTAAGAGGAATATAACTTACTAAATAAAACCTACACAAAAATACATTTGCCTAGAATCTCAGCAGGCACAGGCTGTACAAATGATGTTCTTAGAACTAGGCTTTATCCAGACATATGCTATCGCCAGCAGCAAGGACTAGCATGCATTGTCTTTTTTTAATGACAAGAGGCAGTACTAGGCAAACTTCCATTTGTCTGCTCCCTTAGGCTCCTGCACATAAATCCTATGAAACCTTGACTTTCAGTGGAGCTTATCGTGAGAGCTGAACAGCCATAGCTCACAGGACTGTGGAGAGAATCCATGACTTGGCAGAAAAGAAGAGTCTTATTCAGCATGCCAGTGAGGCTTCCCTTCCCTTTATCTACAGCTGCTCTGCCAAAATCTTCAGTGCCGTCTGCTACTATGTGGAAAAAATGGGAGGACACATGAGAAAGATCATATATTCATTTGAAGACCTCGTCACTTTGGAAATGTAGTGGGCAGGTGGCATAAACACAGTTCCATGCCTCTGTTTTCATATTCACCATGGAGATTATCTGCAGGTTAAACTATGGCAGAAAGGTGATTGTTATGCACAGATATAATTTACCGATAGGGTGCTGTAAAACACACCATACTTTCATGAGGATATTTCCTTTTGCCATATGGAACTGTAGACAGTATCTGCATCTGTATAAGGTCTCACCACATAGTATTTCCGCTCTTACGAGCATGAGCTTGCCAATGACCTCTATATTAAACAAGAACAACTACAGGAAAACAAACAGACATTTGCATTTTGTGAACCATACCTGCTAGACATAGCCAGCACTTACAGTTTCTCTGCATTATGGTGCATCAGCCAGTACCAAATGCACTACACAGGTGGATGAGGGAAATTATGGCCTTTCAGATATTGTTGTACCCCAACTCCCATCAGCCCCAGTCAGCACAGCCAATCGTTAGAGATGATGGGATTTCTAGTCCAGGAACATCTGGAAGAGAACCACAAGTTCTCACCCTTGGTGCAAATCCTCTGAGATATCCATTTTACTGTTCAAAGTTTATTTCAGTGTGTTTCCCCTCATGTATGAAGTTAGTGGTGTAGATTTCATTCTGACTAGAGCAAAGCAAACTAAGAAGTGGTACAAGTGATATTGTGTTGCTTTTCAGATCTTCTGAGGGTCAGTATAAGAATTCTGGCATTAACTATTCAACAGTGGCAGTAGATAGGAATATAGAAAGCTGTCTGATACCAGGCTAAGACTGTCCATTTAGCTCAATGTTGCCTACTCTGGGTGGCAGCATCAGTCTCCAGGATGTCATGTGGAACTCTTCACCATCACCTAGTTCTTTCAAATGTAGATGCATGAAATGGAACTTGGGGTTTTCTGCTTGCAAAATATATCCTACTGAGCTTTGCTCCCTCCTCATAATCAGTGTGCACAGAAACAGGCTAGATGGATCCATTGGTATGGATCAGTATAAGACAGCTCCTTCAGTGTTACCATACTAATAGCCCATCGCCAAATTATGTTAAGTTGGCAGGCTGACTAAATAGTCTTAATAATGTGGTCATATGGTCAGCAGCAAATCATGGAGTTAACGTTTTGCAACAAGTTTCAGAAAACACTTGAGATTGGCTTTGCTGCCGCCTACTGACAGTAGTGGAGCAAAGCAGCTTTGCAAACTTTTTTTTTTGCAGATGCAATTTTTTTGTTTGTGTGCAGCAACAAGGGTAAAAGAATCACAGAAGCGTAGAGTTGGAAGGGACCCCAAGCGACATCTAGTCCAGCCCCCTGCAATGTAGGAATATTTTGCGCAACCCACGACCCTGAGATTAAGAGTCTCATGCTCTACCGACTGAGCTACAAGGCTACAAGGCAGCAAACACTTTGGGACCAGGAATTTAGTAGAGAGCGGTCTGTGATTTTATGCCTCTCAAAGCATTGTAGATCTCATTCAGTTTTGAGGGCTTGTTGATAGAGCTAAGGTGAGCAACGTCCAACCAGCCCAACATTTTCCAAATGCAAAATGTGGCTTGGCTTTAACCCTGAAGCAAGGGGGGGGGGGCAGGACAAAGACCAGGATACTTGCCACCTGCCTTCATCAGTGTACTCAGAGGCACACAGTACAGGTTGAAATGCCCTGATTTTGTCCAGTACTGACCTTATTCTTAACACAAAACAGATCTCAAACTGCAATTACAACTGAACAAAAGAAATGCAAATATGCACCCTCAATAGGATGCTTGGGAGCACTGAAATATGAAGCTGAGGATGAAGGCTGTTGCTTCTGTGGTTAGAAAACAATGTTTATCCACATGAAAAAATAGCCAGTTTACACACTACACCCAAATATATGCTAGAGTTATATATGCACTCCACACACAGAAAACTTTTTGCATAAGCATAGGCAGAGCTACAATTCCCGGGTTCCCTGTGAAGAGGAATTGACTCTTACACCGCTCCAAGAACTGTAGCTATGTGAAGGCAATTAGGGTTTCCTAACAACACACTTAACAAACTACAGTTCCCATAATACTTGGGGGGGGGGGGAAGGGATGGCTGTTTAAAGTGGCATCATAGCGTTTTGAATGTATGTTGTGAATGTGACCTAAATCTGGTCGTTATTGAGCATTTCTTCTCATTAGTTTGCAGGGTGGTTCAATGGCAATGAGCATGCATCCTGCACTCATCCTGATTTGCTTGCAGGCAAGATGTTTACATGTCTTCCCATTAATCAACCGTTCCCCCCACCTTTTTCAATGTATTTCGCTATCTCTTCCCAACCTGTAAAAAGTCCACTTTTTAAAAAGTGGATCTGTTGCACAAGGGCAGCCTTTCTCAACCTTGGGGTCCCAGAAATTGTTGAACTACAACTCCCACCATCCCTAACCACTGGTCCTGGTAACTAGGGATGATGGGAGTTGTAGTTCAACAAACATCTGGGGACCCAAGGTTGAGAAAGGCTGCCCTAGGGTGACAAAGCACTTGAATCACTTTAGATGTGCGAAAGAAGCTTGAATCCCTCTCACAAAATACTACTGACAGCCTGGAGGCACTCATGGAGCCAGTCCTACTCCTACCATTTGCAATTTTCCCTTAGAGATAAGACATCTCAACAGATTAGAGAACCATCTTTATCCACTGTGGCCCAACAGTGTGCAGATTTGCTCCAATATAGTTAGGTACCATTTGCAAAGCATATGTAAAATAACAGTGGGATGGGACATTGCAAATGCAAGGAGCTGTGGGGTAGCACCATTGGGAAGAGGGGCTTCATTTCTGCAGCACACTGTGTACGCACCGAGTAACATTGGTACATGATATGAGGCCACAGATTTACACCCACTCATGGGCACGATCAGAGGTGTCAACTTGAATAAAATACTGGGGGAGCAGGTAAGCCCCAGCCCTCATAATTGATTCCATGACTTGATGTACACACACTATTTGAATAGCAATGTCCATCAACTTTGAGGGTTGGGGAAGTCCCCTTAAATATTTTATTGGGGGAGCCAAAGGGACCTCAGCCCCTAGGAGTTGGCTCCTGTGGGCGCAATAGTAGAACCAACTGTGTCAGAATGCAGGTTGGGTCCCAAACTGGTATAAATCTGGTATAAACCTCGGGCAGGGAGGGGTGCTGAAACCTCACCATCACGCACCATCGTTTGCATGCAAAAGGTCCCCAATGCAACCCCTGAACATTCCAGTTTGAAGAGAAACCAGCATTAGGTAGCAGGCAATTACAAAGGCTTTCCAGCCGACACTCTGAAGCAGGAGTGGGCAACTTTTTCAGCCAGAGGGCCACATTCCTTTCCAAGCAACTTTCTGGGGGCCACATGGCAGTGGTGGGTGGGACAATGAATATATATTTTACCTTTGGCTACTTGGCTCGTCAGGGCAGTCTTTAGTATATGCGCCGACGGGGTGCAAAGATCCACCCAGCGCCCCCAAATTTAGTTTAGCCGCCCCCAGATTTTTTAGGGGGGAGGCCTCAAAGTTGTTGAGCTTTTTGGGGAGGGGGAAGCCAAAGTTGTTGTTGCTCACCTGTAACAACAACGCAGCAAAAAAACCTGCTCCCGGGAACATTTGACGCTACGGAGTAACAGAGCGGCGGGGGGGGACACTTTCGTTCCATTGCTTTTCACTGCCGCCGATCGAGAGGGATCAGTATACAGTAGGTATACATTTGCCACACACCCCCATAATTTGGCACCCCTGGATAAAGACAGCCCTGTGGCTCATTTCCACACACACTCGCACACCACCAACTCCAGGCAAGCAAGAGGAAGGAGGGCATCAGGCTGGGTCTGTGAGGGGTGTGGCCAGGGGAGAGTCCCAAGGACCAGGGAAGGGTGCCACATTTGTCCCCTGTGACTGAGGTTCCCCATCCCTGCTTTGAAGAGTCATCGTCTGCCAGTCTAGACAATACTGAGCTACACAGACAGACTATTGGAGTTGCTTTAAGACTGCTTTTTTCAAATGCGACTTGTGTCCTTAGCAAGTCTGGCTTAGCATAAGAGAGAATCCTGAAGCCCAGCACGGGAGAAAATAAATTCAAAGAGCAGTATGGATGGGGGAAAGGATCCAGCACATCTTCTGCGCATGAGACCCTCCAAGTCCATTTGCCATAAACCTAGAGCTGTCCTATCTAGTTAGTCTTGACTTTTCAAATTAAAATTCTGCTTCATGTGAGAATTGAAATCTGCTTCATGATGCCCACGAGGTGGCGTCCTGGGACTTCTCAACAGGCTTAGCTACGTATGACTGGCTACAATTCTACAAATTAAACAAATAAATTGCCTACTGTTATCAGATCCCTCTTAAAATTGCTCAGGTTAAAACAAAAACAACCAGGAGAGATTTTTATTCATATCATAGGAACAAAGGATTCTCTGCCTGAATCTTCTAACCAATGGGGGATGGCTAAGCAGAAACAGAATGCAAAAAGTAAGTCATCAAATATAAACCACTTTGAGGGGTTTTTCTAACAACAAGTGGTGTAGAGATGTTGTGAAAAAGGAAACAAAATACACAAACAAGTGTTTTGCTTCATGAATATAGCCGCAGAATATTTTTGAAGCCAGAAAGTACATAATTTGGGGGCTGTGTGTGTGTGTGTGGGGGGGTAATAAAGTTCTCCACCATTACTAGCAAGAGTATCTACCTTACATGGGTTTAATCTCCAGCATTTCCCAGAAGGGTTGGGAATGTCCCTGCCTGAAACCTTGGAGAGATAACAGTCAGCTAGAGGTCCAATAGGCTGGCTTAATGTTCTCGTGTCTCCCACAGGATGTGCCATGTACTCAGATGGGTCAAGGTGAGAGGGCCATAGTGAATCAGAGAGGGAGTCCCCGGGGTTTGAAGGGAAATTATAGTTTGTAAATTTCTTCCTCCAGGTACACATACACACTTTAAACTAATAGTGGCACTTGAAAATAAGAGAAACATGCACAACCAAGGAACTTCAGGATCAGGGGGTGGCTGAGCAAAAAATACTTCCTGTAAAAAATAAAGTGGGGTACAACTTAATAAAAATAAACACAAGCAGCCCAGACACAGATCATTATAAGGAGGACAAAAGTGTTGCCAGAGCAGGATGAAAGTGGAGTGACATCTCTACTTGCTCTGTTGCAGGAATGGCACCCTGTGTATGGCATGGTGTTCACATTTCCTAAAGCGTTTGCTGATTTATTTATTTTTAAGGGCTGGGCAGAATAGACATTGTGAGGACATGAGCTGTATGGACGTGTGTATTTCTGAATGTGTGCATAAGGATAAATGGACCTGACAGTATAAAGTGACACAAGTATGTGAACATATGCAGAAAGCAAACGGATGGCCAAGAGGTTTGGGCAGATGCCAGAATGTTTATAATACTGCTAAAATAGATCGATGTTGTTTTCCTAAGCAGGCAGAATGGACAAGATGAGATGGGCAGTATAATGGGGCTTGGAACAAGGTGACAAACCTATGCTGGGAAGTGAGTCTCATTGGAAAAAAAGTGTGAATTAATTCCAAGTAAGTATCAGCTTTGTTAAAATTAAGGGCTCTAATAAGTACATGGTGGAACTACATAGGAACTGCTTGATTTGTTCCCACCAGCCAAGTCTTGCCTGCTCGCAGCTCCCAGGCAGTGGTTCCCCCCCCCCCATCACTTCCTACCTGAAACTTTGGACTCTAGTAGCGCCAGGGATTGAACCTGGGACATTCAGCATGTATAGCAACCTCTGAGCTGTGGCCCTTCCCCCAGCCAATGAGGTCATCAGCACCACTGGTTAATCAAGTGATTAATCAGGATCCTTCCCTATGCATCCTAGAACCCGTCATAGAAAAACAGGCTTGTTGCATCCCGATTTCACTCACATCTAAGACAGGAAATGGTACTCACTTTTTAAGGCCTCTTATTGGATAGTTCTCCCTGGGTAGCCATTGAATTAAACTCCCAAGTCCCTGTCTGATTCGACATGATCAGCAAAGAAATTTAGGCATGTGTAGACATCTCTACCGGCATCAGTCCTAGCAGGAAGTCTCTCTCTTTTTGCTTGTTTGTATTACTATCGGCACCTAGTCTCCTGAAATAGATTTCTTGGCAGCCCCTAGGGGAGCAGGGACTGCCCTAGCGTCCTCAAGAGGGCCTGGCTAGCAAGTACACAGTGCAACTGTATCTTGGATACTCTCTCTCGTGCTGCTAAGTGAAACACAGATCAAGAAAGCAGCAGCCTGAAGTGATGGCAAGAGATTTCTTTCTTTTTACTGTGGAATGAGTGGGGGAAAGTATGACCGTAGAAAAAACTCGCTCTGCTGACTTGGACAATGAAGTCCCTAATAGGTCTATATAGCTGGTAATATACAAAATACAGTATTCACAGA